CCCCGCACGCTTTACATGAGATCAGATAGACTGTACCCGAACACATGCAGTCACCATTTCTACTATTGGGACGAATTATGCAATTTTGAGTTGCACATAGAAGGTCGTATAGGGGGTTACGAACTAGCTGGCGTCTTAGATTACTCGGTAGTATTTCAATTATCGTTACCGAATTCTCTAGGCCCGACCTTCTTAAGCAGCGTTTTATAACTGCACTTAGTTCATTTGAAATGAAGAGCAGTATAAACGGGACCTTGTTGTTGCTAGAGTTTTCGTTGAGGTACCTGTGGTTTCCTCTGCACCTATCTCGAGCTACAGTTTCGTAGCCATTAAAACTGGACATTTGCCGCGCCAAGTTCAGGGACTCTTCTCTCTGCTGTCTTCCTGTGCACACGCTGGTAGCTGTTCGATACATGTTTCTCACAAGCGCCCTTTTCGTGTGAGAGGGGTGAGAGGAGAGGTAATGAACCAGGATGTTTTTACAACTTGGCTTTCGATACCATTTCGTAATGCAGCCGTTTTCTGATAGGCTAATTTGCACGTTTTTCTCTGTTTGGTTATGGAGGTGTTTGGCCGAATGGATTGCTGTCAACTTAACCCTTCCAGGCTCTGAGGAAGGCGAAATCCGCCGAAACGTCTGCTTCTGCGTAAATAAAAAATAAAATAGCACCTCGTGTTTGCTGAACAGAAGTAGAAAGAATTATTCAATCGATGCCGAGGTTAATAGAAAGTCGGACTTGGGAGTTACTATAATACTCAATGTTTCTCAAAACAGTGGATGCTGTAACTAGAAAACCGGCCTGACAAGGATTATCTGCATTACTATAATTTCAATTAGTGGATTACTTGTTTATTCGGATTCTCCGATATCCCTTTTCTCGATTTGGGTGCTTGTAGAGATTGTGTTACCTACTACTCTTCTCCCTGTGAGGATTCACGTTCCTTTTCCTTGTGATCTTTGATGTCGAAAATAAACTTAAATTAGAAAAGGGAATGAAAACAGGATAAAAAGGACGAAAATTCCTGAACAGCCAGTGTACTTTTCTGGCAGGCACGTGGTCGATAAGATAGCGAACTATTTCTCTTACAATTGGAGGACAAGCAATGCTTGAACGATTTATCTGGCTTGCTAAGAAAAGAAACTGATTGAACTAATCTGAAAGTCATTGTACTATATGATGACCTTACTAGCAGTTTAAAAAGCTTGTGAAATATTCAGTGAAATTCACAATTATATAAATCTATTTTCTTAGCGGCCATAAATAAACTAACGAAGGCAAATGTGAACTCTACTACCCTTTCGTATTATTCAATCCAACAATGTGCAATACATCCATGTCAACAAGATACCAGATTTCTCTACCATTAATTTTATTAAAACAATCAACTCTGCTTCGGCAGAAACATAGGTCTTCACTGCACAATTAAATAGGGGCGCAGTATCACCTGTATCACCTACAGTCCCGTTGATCGTCGAGCGACTCGAGCGGACGCAAGTAAATCTTCGATTTTTCCTTGTCGCGTGCAAAAGTAGCACAATGGGTTCTACAGGTCACAAAGAGAAAGAGTAATGACCACGCGAAATCTAACCAAAAATGAACCTTTCCGTTTAGCTCACGGCTCTAGTGACTCGTTGAGCATCATAACTTTCTTCTAGGCTCTTCGTGAAGAACTCTGATTATTGGATCGGTGGTCATCCTGCACAACGTTTGGCATCCTAGGAACCTGAGTGACCTTTCATCCTGCTTACGCAGCAGCCAGGTTTCTGACGCATACATTATGACAGGAAGTACCGTTGAGTCGAAAAGGCGGGAACGGAGTCGGGTGTTCTTTGTTTTCTTCTCTACATCCTCGATGCTCTTGAAAGCTCTCCAAGCCTCTAGCTTCCTTCTCCTCAGTTCTAGAGATAAGTCATTCATCATATTGATTTCCCTCCCCACCTAGATAGACATAAGTGGAGCATTTGGAGATATTCGTTTCGTTGAGCGTGAATGGGACATACGAAATTAATTCTTTCCACACGAACATCATTTTTGTGAGATTTAGTCGAAGACCAATCTTTCCACAGGCTTTATCAAAGTCGGCAAGCATACGTTTCACCAGGCTAATGTTTGGTGTTATAAGACGATGTCATCAGCAAAGCGAAAATGGTGTAACTGCCAACCATCGATTTTCACTCGTATATTATCCCACTCCAATGTTCGGATGACGTTCTGGAAGGTGGCAGTAAACAATTTTGGCGAAATGGTATCGCCTTGCCTAACTCCTCTTTTGACGTCAATGTTAATATCGTTGTAGAATGGTGATACCATGGTTGTGCAATTTTTGTACAGCTCATGAGGAGTCTTTATATACTGAGTAGGGATTCTTTGGCTATCGAAGGCTTCCAAAACTGCTTCTATCTCAGTTGAGTGAAAGGCCTTCTTTAAATCGGTCAAAGTGAGACAGAACGGTTTTTTGTAATTTCGCGATACCTCAATGAGTCTTGCTATCATGTGTATGTGGTCCACGTACTAAATCCTTTTCGAAACCCTGCATGCTCACATGGCTGTTCTTCGTCCAGTGTTCTGTCATTCCTGCTTAGGATGACTCGAGCGAAAAGTTTGTAGACGACAGAGAGTAAGCAGATTGAGCGATAGTTGCCGATAACGTGTAGGACACCCTTCTAGAGCAATAACACAGTCTTGCTCGTCTTCCACTAAGTAGGGACCTTGCATTCAAATATGTAACGTGTGAAGAAGCGAGCCACTGTTTTCACGAGAACTGGCGGAGGGTTCTTCAGGTGTTCTGGTCTCATCCTCTCCGGACCTGGTGCTGCTCGATTTTCACCGACGAAATCTCTCTCAAATGAGAGGTCCTGAAAATTGAGCAGGTAATTCGCTAGGTTACGTGGCGCGTCCCCAGGTGGCAGACAGGAGGTTAATGGCGGACCAAAAGCGACGTTTGCTTGCCTGAGACGCAGGTGGTTCCAGGGGATGGACTCCATGTTTCTGTTACGCCGATTTGGCACAAACGTTCCGTATTTGCGAGACGTATTCACGCATACGTGTTTAGGAAAATTTTCCCTTATGCAGATTGCGTTCTACGAGTCAATTCGGCCAAGAGCCTTCGAACAAGTGACTGGGAAGTATAGACGAGGCGGTTAGGAGCCGCCTGCAACGAATAAGCTCCGTGTCCACTTTGGGAGAGCCTGATAAACTACCCGAGAGAGAAACTAGGTCCCAGGTTCAGAGCAAAGCAAGCTATACGTTGGTATCAAAATGCTAAACACAGTAAAAAAAAAAGCGCCTCATTTAAAACAGCCTGAAAGAGCTTCCAATTTCACAGTGGCGCAGTAGTTTCAACAAAGATGAAAAACCTATTTGATAATCCGAGAGCTGGATTTTAAAAGAACAAAAGATTCGCAGTCGAATTGTGCTATGAAGAAAACAGGAAAAACTCGAAGGCTACATTTTCACAAGAATTAGCTTGACAGTGTTGTAATATTTTCTCGTGCATTTCGTGAACGTCAACAGAAAGTTCTCAGAGGTGCCCCACGGCACTTAACGTCTTGTGAAGTACGGATTTCAGCACCACCTCCAGCCCACTTCAGAAGCGCACCACAGAACTTCACCTCGAATAATGCGCGGATTTCAGCAATTTCACCCTTCCTCAGAAATTCAGCAATTTAAGCCTTCCTCAAAAGCGCTCTACGGTGCATCACCTCGAATGGTGCACGTATTTTGGCACCGTCAGTCCACTTGAGAGGCGCACCACGGCACATAATCTCGAATAATGAGCTGATTTTAGTACCTCCAGTCTACTTAAGAGGCGCGCCACCGCACATCGCATGGAATGAGGTGCAGATCCCTGCACCTGCACTCCACGTCAGAGCCGCGGCACGGCACATCACCTCGAATGATGTGCGAATTTCAGCATTTCAGTTCTTCCTCAGAGGCCCGCCACTTCACTTCGCCTCGAATAGTGTGCGAACTTTAGCACATGGTGTCCATTTGAGAGGCGCACCATAGCACATCACCTCGAATGATGGTCGGATTTCAGTACCTCCAGTCCACATGACAAGCGCGCCACGGCACATCATCCCGAATGATGTACGGATTTTAGCACCTCCATTCCATTTGAGAGGCACACCACAACAAATCAACCTGGATGTAGTGTGGAATTGTGCACCTCCAGCCCACTTGAAAACGCGCCACGGCACTTCACCTCGAATGATGAGCGAATTTCAGCATTTCAGTTCTTCCTCAGAGGCCCGCCACTTCACTTTATCTCGAATAGTGTGCGAATTTTAGCACATGCCGTCCAGTTGAGAGGCGCACCACAACACATCAACCCGAATGATGGGAGGATTTCTGCACCTCCAGTCCACTTCAGAAGCGCACCACGGAACTTCACCTCGAATGATGTGCGGATGTCAGCACCTCGTCTCCTCTTGAAAAGTGCGCCACGGCGCTTCACCTCGATTGATGTGTGGATTTCAGCACTTCGTCTCCTCTTGAGAAGTGCGCCACGGCACTTCACCTCGAATGATGTGCGGATTTCAGCACCTCGTCTCCTCTTGAGAATTGCGCCGCGGCACTTCACCTCGAATGATGTGCGGATTTCAGCACCTCGTATCGTCTTGAGAAGTGCGCCACTGCATTTCAGCTCGAATGATGTGCCGATGTC